ATATATATATATATATTTTTGGGTTATGATAATGATCCTTCCGCAGGTTCACCTACGGAAACCTTGTTACGACTTTTACTTCCTCTAAATAGTCAAATTAGGTCATCTTCTCAGCATCAGTCGAGCGGCAACGCCACTACAACGACACCAATCCAACGACCTCACTAAACCATTCAATCGGTAGTAGCGACGGGCGGTGTGTACAAAGGGCAGGGACGTAATCAGCGCAAGCTTATGACTTGCACTTACCAGGAATTCCTCGTTCACGGGGAATAATTGCAAGCCCCGATCCCAGTCACGACGGTGATGAAACAGTTTGCCCAACCCTTTCGGGCCAGGTTCCCAGACTCGCTGGCACCGTCATTGTAGCGCACGTGTGGCCCCGGACATCTAAGGGCATCACAGACCTGTTATTGCTCAATTTCGTGCGACTTAAGTGTGCCGCTTGTCCCTCTAAGAAGTAAAAACTGGCACCGCACCCGCCGGATCACGACCACACTACTCCATAAAGAAGCAATAGAAGCCGCGCCCTAAACGAGCACAGAGGACCAGTCTACTATTTAGCAGGTTAAAGTCTCGTTCGTTATCGGAATTAACCAGACAAATCGCTCCACCAACTAAGAACGGCCATGCACCACCACCCACCGAATCAAGAAAGAGCTATCAATCTGTCAATCCTCACAGTGTCCGGGCCGGGTGAGTTTTCCCGTGTTGAGTCGAATTAAACCGCAGGCTCCACTCCTGGTGGTGCCCTTCCGTCAATTCCTTTAAGTTTCAGCTTTGCAACCATACTCCCCCCGGAGCCCAAAGACTTAAAGGTTTCCCGGGGACTGCCCGCGATGTCAATTATAGAACCAACGCGGATCATCAGTCGGCATTGTTTATGGTCAGAACTACGACGGTATCTGATCGTCTTCGAAACTCTGACTTTCGCTCCTGATCAATGAAAACATTCTTGGCAAATGCTTTCGCTGTAGTTTGTCTGGCGGCGATCCCAGAATTTCACCTCTAACACCGCCATACAAATGCCCCCGTCTGTCCCTCTTAACCATTACTTCGGATCCGAAAACCAACAAAATAGAACCGAAGTCCTATTTCATTATTCCATGCAAGAATTTTCAGGCGCACAGGCCTGCTTTGAGCACTCAAATTTGTTCAAAGTAAAGATGCCGTCCGCTCCCGACACCCGTTTAAAGGCATCCGGAAGCATGCCGACAGGTCAACAAGACGAACTCGTCAACCCACCAGCACCCGTTTAACACAGACACGGCTGAAAGGCTGCACAGCCACTACACCGAGCTGAACACGTCCTGATCGTAACCAAAACCGTGAACAAGCAGCGGCATGCGACCGCACGACCCAGATCCAACTACGAGCTTTTTAACTGCAGCAACTTTAATATACGCTTTTGGAGCTGGAATTACCGCGGCTGCTGGCACCAGACTTGCCCTCCAATTGGTCCTCGTTAAAGGATTTAAATTGTACTCATTCGAATTACGGAGCCTCAATTGAGTCCCGTATCCGTATTTTTCGTCACTACCTCCCCGTGCCGGGAGTGGGTAATTTTCGCGCCTGCTGCCGTCCTTGGATGTGGTAGCCATTTCTCAGGCTCCCTCTCATAAGTAACATTTGCAACGGTTTGTAGCGGTAAATAAATATTCAAAATAAATAAATCTGTAAGTCTTTGACATTGGATACAATGAGTGATTTCAATGATTTTCCATGTTTTAAGGTAAATTTAATAGAGAAATGTTGAATTATAATCCTAATTGTTTTATATTAGATAACATTAAATGATACATTTATTATAATGAAATGAATTTAAATGGTACTAGTCATACTTGTATTAGTTGTTTGAGTCCAGTAACTAATTAGAATCAGTCATTAAGTAGATAATGTGATGGCGTATAAAGTGAACGTTATTTGGGGTGGAGTTCCCAAGTAAACATAAACTTTAGGCTGTAGATACATTCGACTGATGTGTCTTAAATAGGATGAAGTGTCATGCATCCTAAATTCCACTGTTAGCCACCATGTATCTCTGTTAATAAATAATACCAGATCTGCATTAATAAAGCATCAGGCTAGTTAATACGAGTTAACATACACAACGGTTGTCTTAAATTGAGCCTACAATATGCAGAGATACCATAAAAGGTATACAATTAATCCTACTCACTGAAAAATAAGGTTTGTGTGGAAACCAAATATAGGTTAAGTACTTCAAATTTATTGATTGAGATCATGAATCATTAATGTTAGAATACCATTGAAAACCTGGAAGCGCTGGACGGCCGTTTCGTCCTATTGTGGGACTCCTCAGCAGTGCGCATCCACGATCCCACTCGCGGGATTTGAACCCAGGGCCTTCGGTCTCGCTCACAAACGCTTAACTTACTGGACCACTGAGCCGGCATCCAATGGTGATAGTGTCTAACATCAACAAATCCACGAAATTGCAAATTTACAAAAATCTATGACAATAAGAATTTTTACTTCCAGAAGATTCAATGATTCTCACCGAAGTATTTATTATCTCCAGTGGAGAAGATTGGTAGCTTAGGTGGATGATTCTGATGAAGTTTTGTTCAGTTCAGATAACAAAAGTTCTGTAGTGTAGTGAACGAGAACACCAGTCGATACAATCGAATGTATCACCACAAAAAATTACAGAATATCTAAGAACTAAACGGTAAATACACTTGGTATTGTTTGGTATGTATCTTCCCATTGAGATTTAAGACTGCAATTGATCAGTCTGTTATTGGCATATGTGCATACTGTGTGTATGCCTCGATATTGCCTTAAATCACAAGCTTTTTTATAAGCAACGATGGTTAGTGGATGGATAGTCCCAGAGCGAACATCAACTCTGAGATGCAGGTATATCCAGCTGACGAGTCCCAAATAGGACGAAGTGATGCGCGTCCTGGATTCCACTGCTAGCCACTATTCCTCTTTGCTTATAACAAACGGTAAATAATTCATTTGCAAAATACCAATCAATCATCTCAGACTTCATCGTTCTTTTGTTTCCATATCAATCATTCATTGTTCTCGTTCTCTTCTCTTCAATCTTCACAACATTCTGCCTCTAGGCATTTCACTTTCAACTGATGATACATACTACTTATTATCTATTTAACATCAGTAGCACACACTACAATTTCACTAACTGGTTACATGGTGTGAATCAATTATAATTGTACTAATAAAACTATTGTTTAGCCTGTAATCTTATTCTCAACAATTCATAGTCAATTAAATATTGATATGTAACGTGATTTAGTTTATGGTATCTGGCGTATCGATCAAGTGCTCATTTTAATATTGTATTATTATAACCATACAAATGGGGTACATATATCAGTGTTACACCATGACAAATAGAAATTCTCTTGTATTTTACATTACATTTGGTATTTCAAATAATACGTTTGATTCAGTTATAACGAATATATGACTTGTAAACCGATGAAATTCAATCTATGTAGTCATTCATATAACTGATATCAAAGTATTGGGAATATCGTTGGTTACTTTTGTTTCACAACTATCATTATAAAGGTATAAGTATTTCAATAGTTGAGATCATGAGTTAATTGAAGCTAGACTACCATGGAAAACATGGAAGTACTAGTATAGGACTCCTCAGCAGTGCGAATCCACGATCCTGCTTCCCGCGAGATTCGAACCTAGGATCTATCAGTCTTACGCGCAAGTGCTTAACCATTAGACTACTAAGCCGGCTGGCATCTAACGATATTAATGTCTAACTTCAACCAATCCACAAAATTGTGCCACTGTCACCATTGTCCAGGATGAAACGGCCGTCCATTACTTCCAGGTTTCCACGGTGGTCTACCTTCAATTGACTCATGATTTCAACTATTGAAATTTCTAAAAACAAATCTCCACAAAACCCCTTCTGGCATAAGTATTTATAAACAATTGTGTACGTATGATACTGAATGTTCATTATGTTATACCATCAGCAATAGCCTACTGTGGGAGAAAGAAGACAAACCAAGTTCAGTTGAATAGGAAATCAGGAAAAGATTATAATGAGCGGACCATGCCTCTCCATAAAGGGTAACAGGTCTAAGTAAATAAATTTTGTATCCAGGTTAGAATTTAAAGAACAATAGTTGATTACTATAATTCATTGTGTATAGAAAAGCACCAACATAAAATAAAACAATGATCAAATTATTTTATTGATTCGTGAAAACTCATTTCTATTCTACACAAACACACCTAAATCATTTCATAATTTCAATGATGTTCTGACAATATGAAATAGATAGAAAGGTGGAATATTAAAGAACATATTCCATTGGGAAATAAAAGTAGATGAATAATAACTGGAATAGAACTGTAAACCGATGTCCAGGACAGAATTGGATGGATACTGTTAGTTGGCGGCCTATACTCCTTCATGAGGAGTTATAGCGACTCACGTGCAATTGAGTTTGTTCTCATTCAATTCAGTTAATCCCTTTTGCTAACTTATTTAGCGGTCAAAGTCATCCGCACTATAACAATTTATTGTACCCTTATTATTATTGTACTCGTATGAAATACGTATGCTTGAATATTGCTTACGGCCTACGCATTTATTCACTCCGCTAGTCTTACTACTAACTGCTTATTGACTCGATTACTCATTCATTTCACATGGTATATATATGTCTATGTTATTCATATTCACACTCACTCTCCTCTCGCTCTTGCTCTTGTTCTCGCTCGCTTGCTTGCCTTTCGGCACAACTCTTCTATGCTTGTTTAACGCATCTGTACATTTGGATATATGTGTGCGGTCTCGTAATAAACATAATCAACGCTTCGTATTCGCCTTCTGATTAATATACCGTTGAGGCGTTATATAGAACGGTTATCAAGACGAACTGTATACGAAGTTTAAGGATTATATCGAATACCGACCACCATAGAGTAATGAAATAGATCCATATATTCAATTGATCAATAATTAAGTGACATTACAATTGACAAGTCACACTGTTATGAAGTTTACTAATCACTTGTAATGAACCAGATTTTAATTGTTTTCTTATATTCTCATATAATATAATCCATTCAAGTTGTATAGATAACCATTGTGCTATTAAGATACGATTGATTTGTTGATCATTGATAGCATATTTGATTATATCCACAACAAAATCTAAACAATCATAATCATCATACTGTAACATTCTATCACGATGAGATTGTTTAAAATCATTCACAATACTATAAATGATTTCATTCCATTTGAATGATGTTAAACTATCACATTTGGTCATTTCTGATACATTGATAATGATAGATTGTTCCCAACCAATTGTATCATATTGTATACCATATTGATTTGTATAATGATATACTTTACCTTGTGAATCAACTACACCACAATGTAAATTTGTATTTGGTTGATAATGTACAATACTACTACTATTAGTACTACTATTATTACTAGTATTACTGTTACTATCTGATGAAATAAATGCAATCCTAGATAATGGATATGATGTAAACAATATTGATTGATGTGCATTTGAATAAGGTGGCAACAATTCGATAATCATTTCATTATCTAAGGTTCCATTACACTTTAAACACTTTTCAGGAGTTTTATTCATAATACATATATAGTTTTCATGATTATTTTCATGATTGATACATGAATGTTTGATAGCGAATATGTTACTATGGTTCATAGAATTGCAATATAATAATGATGATGATTACGTAATATGTTCCTCTTAATAGTAAACAAACTATATTTGTAACTATGCTATATATTGAATATATAACAATAATCAATATCTCAAGGTCATACTTTCATGAGAAATCAATAAGTCATATGACCTAGTGGGTGTTAGTGTAAATCATAGGGTATATTTGTTTGTTTGTTGTTTTTGAATGGATATATATGCGGATGGTTGACAGGTGAACTAAAGAGAAAGTTTTAAGAAGTTTAGAAAGAACTGAAGATATTCTATCCAATCATCTTTTTGGAAGAATATTCTAGAATCCCTATGTGTAACTTCCCTATTAGACTAATGTTAATAACCCCCTGTATACAGATTGGATAATTATAATGAAGATCTCGTTTTTACTAGAAACTATAAATACTTGACAGTTTTGAACCATACTTGACACTGTCTGGGAATAACATTCATTCCATTTGTTTTCTGTCTTCTCATTTGCGACTTGGAAGGGTTCTAGCATTCAAGTGCTCAAGTTATACGCGGTATATTAAGAATCTAGGCTCTAGATATAACAATTGGCTACGGGGATGGGATTCGAACCCAGGCGGGGAAACCACAACGGTATATATTTTGTTTGTTGTTTTTAAATGGATATACAAATAGTTTATTAGATAGTGGACATATTCTAACTCTTTAATACAATCACTTACTTTAGTGAGTTCATGATAAATATGTTAAGTTATACAATAATATTAATTTCGTTAGTTACTGTGTCTCGAATCCACAATCCAGCTGACAGGACATTCCTGGCTTTAATAGGACAGGTCCGGTATTAACTTTGTGTTTTGACTTTAAGCATAAGTACCTACGTATTATAGGTTACTTGCTTACTTACGCCTATTACTCACAATGAAGTATAAGCTACCAAGCAGCATTCTCCAACCAACTCTGTCCTCGGCCTTCCTTTCTTTTTCTATCCAATCGTTGTTCATTCTTTTCATGTTTGTCTCCATTTCTCGGTGTAGTGTGTTCTTTGATCTTCCTCTCCTCCTCTGGCCTTAAGGATTCCAAGTGATGAAGGTGTAGTTTGGCGTTGAGTCGCGGTTGACTATGATCACCACTACAGGAAGTCTACGTGACAGTTAACCGATAAGATCCCCCGTAGACCAAATATCAGAAGGCAGTTGATGGCTGTAGTCGAAATGTATTCATTGGCGATCTCGTGGTATCAAAATAATACCGAGATCGTGCCAAAGGAGTACAAGTGTGGTTACTGTGCGTAACCGAATTCGTGCAAGGTCACAATCAAAGGAAGAATGTATGTGTTTTGGTACAGTTAAACAAACAAGTACAGTAAAACAATCCCTAGTACAATTGGTTATAATAATAATTGTTTCCATTACACCAATCACATTCTCTTGATAAAAGTAGGTCACAACAAGGGGTTGCCTTGTGATGTAGTTAGGTGCTTTCCTCAATATGTGTCTTATTCACTTGCATCGCTTCTTCCTCCGTTAGAATCTGGTTTGTTCTCCTCCACAGTAAGTTGTTTCTGATATTGTCTAACCAACGGATTCGAATTACTCATAGATAGTTTATTGAAGTAGTTTATAATTTACCTTACAAAGTAAATAATGTTTCCACTAAAAAAATAAAAGCTCGTACTTTTCATGAATAGTGATAATCTACTTCAATGATTGGATTCAATTTCATCATAGTAATCGAAACTTCATCACTAAAGTGTATAGATTGCAAGTGGATGAAAAGAGATCTCTTTTTCGGTATTTGTATTTAGTTTTTGATTTAGAAATCCCTCTTTATAAGCCTTCAGTTCACAGGTGATGCAGTCACTGAAATACTAATCTAGAGATAATATAGAACATTCACTATCGGAAAACTAAGACTAGTGTTTTTCTATGGGCTTAGTGGTGACATTGGGATTAAAAGATGAATGGCCTAGAATGGATACCTGGTTTTATATCTATCAATTTGACTAGTTCAATGAAGCAACTTATATTAGAATTTACATTTTTGTGCTCATCAACAACTTCCAGGGTGGCTAAGTAAAAGTGTAGTCATGACAGTAAACAACTCAATACTGGTCCATTTGAAGCAAACTGGTCATCGTACCCAGACTAGTCAGTCATTCTCAGCTTATCGGGTTAGTATTTAAAAAACATAAAAGCCGGTTCGTCTCAAATACTACAGGGGCGACAGCTACTTGGATTAAAAACGTCGGAGCTATGTGTGTATATGAAATATGTTCAACCCTTTCTCTTATGTTGATTAAATTCAGGCCAATAAAACAATAGTAATCTTATCAGTATAGAGTTGTGGAGATGATTAAGTTTTTGATTGAGATCATGAACCGATCGATATTAGACCAGAATTGAACTCCTGGAAGCACTGGACGGCCGTTTCGTCTTATCTTGGGACTCCTCAGCGGTGTGCGACGCGTTCGCGGGATTTCAACATAGGTTCTATCGGTCTCGCGCGCAAACGCTTAACCTCGAGACCACTGAGCTGGCCGGCATCCAATAGTGTTAATGTCTAACCTTAACCAATCCACAAAATTGCGCGACCATCTTCGATTGTACTGTCTCTACCTGTCTATACAACAGGACGAAACGACCGTCCAGTGCTTCCAGGATCAATCGGTTCCTGATCTCAATCAAAAGTAGTAATCTTAATTAGACAATGTATATATAATATTTTTTAGTCAAATATTATTGTCTTTGTGATTTCTATTCACATATCTTTATGCCATTCTCATCACTCTTGGTTCATCATCGTCCACTTCATTGACCTTCAGAAAATATGACTAATTTAGTTGACACTCACTTTAATTGATTATTTCAAAGCGTGACAACTTGGACAAACGAACATCTTTGTCAGACTCTACACTGATAATGCCTGATTTATCGATTTGGATTACACTGCCAGCTGCCAACCAAATATTCCGAGATCTTTAGCCAGCTTTATTTTCAGAAGAGATTGATGGTGGCTAGCAGTGGATTCCTGGACGGGCGTTTCGTCCTATTTTGCACTCGTCAGATGGATATGCATTCATCCCAAAGTTGATGTTCACCCCAAGACTCGAACCCAGTACCATTCGCTTCAGACGCCATCATGTTATCTATTTAGCTAAGAGACTGATCAATTGTATACCTAAACATCAATGGGAGATTCAAACAACCGATACAAAAATGAATTAAAAACAGCTTTATTTTCGTTCAGTGATATACCTATTCACTTTCTTTTTATCGTGGTCAAATACAGTTAAAAGTAAGGCGATTTTTAGACAGAACTTCATTCGATCAGGCTGTATCCTATCCAAAAATAGCAGAGATTATACCTTCGAATGGCAATTAGACAATACATCAAGTCAAACTCCAAAATCTATACTAAAAAAACCCAAAAGTTTCAAAAGAACTTTTCATTTATAAGGTAACAACTACCCATTTTTCAGCATGCGATTATGGAGATCTCTGTATTTTGTAGAGGTCACGAACTTATCTAGAAACACAGAACAACCGTTTCGTCCTACAATGAGACACTTCAACAATGTACACCCATGACCCCGCGATTGGGAATCGAACCAAAGCCATCCGGTCTTTACTGAACTTAACTAACTAGTCAAGTAGATAACACTAAAATATTTATATTGACCGGTGTTATTCGAAAAAATGATGGATGAACTCATTTTAAAGACAGCAGAAGATAAATACTTCACTTCTACCTATACTTTTCTTTTTTCTCATGTCTCCATAGACACAGATTATGCTGATTTGGTGTTTCTGGCATTTTCACCGTTTTGTGTATTGTGGAATGACACCTTCAGTTTAAAAGTGATATTTCCACCATACAAAGAGGGAGTATAAATAACAAAGATGAGGATGGGTGTCTGTCTAACAGGAATATCAGGTAATTTACGATAACAACTAAGGCACTGAAATAGTAAATTAAGCAGGAGTTTTCAAAGGATATGGAGAAAAAAGAATGAATCGGGATTGAGGTTGGAAAATACGCTACTAAATTATAAAAACAAATATAAATATGGAAGTGAGGCTACAAATGGATAGGATAAGTAGATCATTTCAACGAAGTAATAGTACTTATTGCAACCAATGAGCCACATAATTTGTTGGGTATAATCAAACTACTGGTCATTAGGCAGTAGTATAAAGAGTATTCGTAAAAATTCTTTCAACTAACGTTTGAAATATTCAAATTGTTGAATTGAATTTTCCGGATTTTGTTTCAGGTTTGACTTTATCCATAGAAAATATTCAACAATGAAGTTGCTTTGTCACTCGTTTAATCATTGTGATCATAAATATGGAACCTACTGTTCGTAAGTGGTTACCAAGATACCGGATAAAACAATATGCAGAGGTACTTGGAAATAATTTTAAGGGAAATTGGTTTATGAACTATATGCAGAAGTTCATGGATCTGAAACCTGGTCTAATTTCATTTCTAAGCAACTTCAAGAACTGTATCCAGTTTCCGACATTAAGTACCAAGCGGTTTCACTTGGATATTCATTGGAGAACAGTCGACAGAACTCAACTTTCAAGAGCAAATTTTCAAGACCTTTGAAAGAATTTGAAATTTTTGAACTACAGTTAGCTCATTTAATCGATCATTACATAAACGTCTTATTATTTCCCATTTATTGAGTCATCACTTGTTAAATGATCTTCTGACGTATGATTCATGATAGATCGTCTAAATGAAGTTTCGTATACGTATAGAAGGGATATTTATTTCCATAGTTATTGAATCGAATGGATCAAAAATTTCCATTAATTTCTTTGAAGTGGTTGAGAAGATTTGTAGCTTAAGTAGATGATCTACGTGGAGTATTAATCTCGGAGCCGGATAGTTTAGTCATGGAGCTCTCATCGTTCTTTTGGACAACATCACAGCTTGTCCTGTCAACCTTGATCTTGATTAGTTATTGTTGACCTTTAACATGTTATTGTCTACCTCTTTGTTTTGAT